GGCAGGAAGATACCACAAACACCACTTTGTGAGTACTGCAGAAGCAGTACACACAGCCTCTGAGCATGTGCAGAGTTCAAAGTACTTTGGGAAGTTTGAGCAGCTCTGCTTCCAGCCACAGATTGGAGGCGGGCTTGCACTAGTTCTCAAAGAAAGTCTTTGAGTCTCTAGAAAACTCTCAAAGGAAATCTTGGTGTCTTGAAAATAAATAAAAGTTGTGTAACTGAGGTAAGGCATTTGAGGTCCTCTGAGTGTTCAAAGCTTGTATTGCCTCAGGAAAAATTTTGCCTGGGAAGGGTTGGGTTAAAACAAAGACCCTTAAGCACTCTCAATGAGTCACTAGGGGATTTTTTAGGAAGGGAATCCTTCCAAAAAGCAATGTTGTGAGCATGTGATTTGTGTCAGCCATCAAGAGTTTTCCCTCTCCAATAACTTCTATTTTTCTATGCAACATGGATCTGGGTCTTATATATGTGTGTGGGTGTAAGTTCTGAATTCTGATTATACCATTTTGTTATTTTGCTATGTTACAACTGAAGGATTGGGAGGGAATGGATGAAACTCTGGGGCTGTGTATGTGTGTGCATGCAGGCGCATGCAGAGGGAAGAGTTTCTTTTCAAATCTATGAGGCTACTTTTCCCTTTGGTGTTCAACAGAAAGTTTTGTTTCCTTTTTTCCTTTTGCAATGTTGCCAAATATTAATGATAGTGATATTGCTGTTACTGTTGTTACTGGTATTGATGGTGCTAAAAAAAAAAAAAAAAAAAAAAATTCCTTACAGTAGCCTAACAGTTGTTGGGGACTGAGCCCATTTGCCAGCCCAAGGATGCCCAAGGATGTTCACCTAAATGCGCAAGCATTGATTGTTAGATGAAATGTGTGTTAGTTCAGGTTTGTTTGTGTTAACAATGGGTTGGTGCATTTTGCATCTATGTGGGACAGTATCATCTCTGTAGTAAGAAATTGTGTAAAACTGTTCTCATTGTCCAGAAGAAAACACATTTCTCTTCAGCCTAGGGAAGCAACAGGTTCGTGCCACACCAGTTCAACAAAGGATTTATTTTGTGTGCATTTTTGCATTGGTTGGATTGATTTATAACTGGAAACAGCAGAACCCCCCCCCCTTCTCTGAAAAACCACAAGGCTTGATTTCGTTACTAGAAATGGTTTTTCACACCCATGCCTCCAAGCTCAATTTATAGCTGAGCGGCAGCTAGCGTGAGATGGCAGCCCTGCTAAGCTGGAAAGGCTTCGGTCTGCAGCTGGATAGGCGACTGCATGTGGATGCTGACTGCTATGGATTACACACCCATCGTCCTACTTGGGATGACTGCCAGCAACTCCTGCAAGTTCTTTTTACTTCCGAGGAGCGCGATCGGATTCACCTCGAGGCTTGGAAGCAGGTTCTTGGCACAGATGGCCAACCCACCACTGACCCGGTTATTCTGGAAACGAGCCTCCCAGCCCAACGACCCAACTGGGATCCAAATACAGTTGCTGGTGAAGGAGCTTTAACCAGGTGCCCGGTGGCTAGGACCCTTCCAGGTGATCCTCTCCACTCCCACGGCGGTAAGACTGGCCGAAAAACCCCACTGGATCCACGTGACACAGATAAAGCCTGTCTCGCCGGTCCTCTTGGAACAATGGACGGTACACCAAATCGGAGACCCTCTGCGGGTCAAGTTAAAAAGGGTCTCCTCCCAGCAGTCCTCCTGATTCTTCTCGCCCGCCCGGTAGGCTGCCCCCCTCAAACCCACACCAGCCACTTACCATGGCATGGACCTTGCAGACTGACTGGCAGGCCTCCCCGCCAGTGGCAACCGTCCTGACTCACACCCACGATACCTCCCCGGACTTCCGCATAGATCTCTGCCAACTCCTTCCGCCCAGGTGGACTAACCCGGGCCTCTTCTCGGTGCATACGGTTGGGGGGGACCTCCTGATCTGGGGGTATGGATGTGGAACTGACACCTTGGAAAGGGGACTGTCACAGGAGCAATATTATGGCTGTCCATCGGATGGGAGCCCCGCTTGCGGTGACGCGCCCTACTTCTACTGCGCCCGATGGGCTTGCGAGACTTTTGCTACCTGGTTGGAAGGCCAAGATAAGGATCCATGGCTCACGGTGAAAAGGGTGCAGGCCGGCCAGGTGGGGACCGGCAGACGCAACCCCCTGAGCCTCAATATCAAACGAGGCAGGGAAGATTCTTGCGTAAAAGGTAAAACCTGGGAGCTGCACTTGTATCTGTATGATCCTGATCCAGGCGTACTTTTCACGGATCAGAAATGGGTTATCTCACGACCCTGGGGCCCGGTGGGACCCAACCAGGCTCTCCCTCGCCCTCAGGTGGTGAACCCCACCCCCGCTCATTGCATCCCTGACCCTCGCACAGAGCGTGCTCCGGCCCGGGCTGCTAGCCGACTGTCATCCAGCCGCTCATTTACATTAGTGTCTGCAGTTTTTCAAATCCTCAACGGGACCAACTCAAACATTACCGAAACATGTTGGTTATGCTTGAGTCCTCAGCCCCCTTTTTACACTGGGGTAGGAGTGAATGCCTCCTTTTCCGTCTTTGCTAATATCTCCTACTCGGAGAATTATGGGAGCGCCTGCCCGTGGGGGCTCCACCCCTCTATAACATTAGAGGAGTTCTCAGGTCAAGGGACCTGTGTCACAGGCCCCGGTGGGCCCCGTGATGATCCACGATGCGCTGCTACTCCTGACCCCCACAGCACAGCCCTACCTCCTGGCAGCCCCGAATGGGACTCTTTTTGCTTGCCGATCCGGCCTCACCCCGTGCAGCTTATGTGCTGCCTTGGATGAAAAATGCTGCTTTTATGCAAATCATTCATGCATCATCCTAGTCTAGACCTAGTCAAAGCCCGTCTGGAGGACTGGGAAAGGCGCTGCCAGGAGGGTTCCAACTGGTATCAGCACCTCTTTAACTGGTCCCCCTGGCTGACCAGTCTGCTGTCTTCCCTTGCTGGACCTCTTTTAGGGTTGTTATTTTTCTTTATTTTCGGCCCCCTCCTGCTCCGTTGGGTTACCCGCCTTGTCCAGCAGCGCACTGACGCTGTGAGAGTACTGGCATTTCATGCCAGGTCTCACCTGGGCCAGGGTGATGGTTACAAGCACCTTCCGCTAGCGGCTCGATGATTCGATTCCCCAAAGAAGACCAGTAGGGAATGTTGTAACCCCCCTCTTAATCGAACATTCAGCTAGGGCATGGCTCGACATGGGTAAAAAGCATGATCAGAGTGTCCCGTTCGCGTAAGAACAAGAACCCCAACGAATGTGCATGCTACGCAAGGCTGACCACAAAGCAGCCTTTGTTGCTACGCTCTAGCATAACCGCAGACGTTACGCCCTTGTACCCTCGCTTGCTTGCTTTAGCATAAAAAAATGTGCAAATGTAGCTCAGTGGGGTTCCCCTATTGTTCGCTGTTATTCAAGCACCTGCATAGCCCTCCGTTGTAAAAGAGTATAAAAACTCTGCCCTCCTTCTGCTCGAGACTGCACTCTAACGAGTGTTTGGTCCCTGCAGGTAATAAACCTCTTCTCTCGAGAATTCCAACTGGTCTCTGGTCTCATCAGTAAAACCGTGGGACACAACACTCAAGAATTTTATGAAAACTTTAGAAGCACATTTGAAGATGAAATGGTGAAGCGGGGGCTGCAATAACTCCCCTTCCAGATGAAGAAGAAACAACAACTTTAGAACAACAAGGAAGTGAACAGTTAACACAACAAGAGAAAATCTAGAAAATGGTGACACCCAAATATAAATAGGTATATATACTATATAAATATGGATTTCAAAACTGAAGGAAGAATTGAATTACTCTCAGTAAATATAAATGGACTAAACTCACCTCCTAATTGAAAAAGATTTTTTTCTTAACTTCCAAAATTGAAATTAGATGTAATTTGCTTACAGGAAACACATAAAAAACCACACTATAAACTTCTGGAATGCTCAAAACTTAGTAAGGTATTCATATCTTTGGCCCATCAAAAGCAAAGAGGTTTGGCCTTATATATTAAAGAAAATCTGGATGCTAAACATATTTTTTCAGATGAAGATGGTAGAATTTTAAGGGTCGAGGTGACAATAAAACAAAAGAAGGTGTTTATGGTGGCAATCAATGCACCTAATGACCAACAGGGATTTTTTGTATCAAAAATTATATACTTTACTTGTACAAAATGAATACCAAACCCTCTGTTTAATGGGAGATTTCAATGCAATTGTTGATTTAAAGAATGGACTACAAGAGTGACAATAAAGGAAAAAGAGGAAGGAGAATACTTCCAAAATCTTGTTTTAACTTGCCAGAGGAATTTAGACTTACAGATGTTTGGAGACATAAAAACACAACTACAACCAAATACTCTTTTTATTCAAATAGACACAGGTCATGGTCCGGAATCGATATGATCTGGATGACTCCAGACCTAATCCCAGATTTGCTAGAAGCTGAACTAGACACAAATGTGTGGGCTGATCA